TCCCCTGTGTTTGGCAGGTGTGAGCTTCCTCTGAATTTACTGTTCAAAGGAGGGTCATTGGTGAGTTGGGGATTAAATGGAAACCTAAGCCAAGATCCAACTTCCTTCAGGTAAGCATTGGAATTCAGAACTTGGTAAAGGAGCCTCTGCAACTATAAATCCTGAATCTGCCCTTTGAGTCAGAGGTTCCCAGGTGTCACAGGACTCAGACAGAGTTACTGCCTCCAAAGAAGCTGAGCTCTAATATTAGCAGGAGCTGAGAGCCAAACAGCCTCTTACAGAGCTGAAATACTGTGTTTACTTCTGAGAGAGTGGCTCTGAACCATCCTTCTGTTTGGCCTACCAAGAAAATAGCTGAAGCAATGGGTTTTCTGGAGATTCAGTGAGGCTTCTGCATAGAGCCACTTTGCTCAAATAAAAGTGTTCTGGGGAGGCACAGGCTAGGGATGGCAGTAGGGTGTGCAATCTGTATTGATCTACAACAGTTAGTACTGGAAATCCTTGAAAACAGTGTTTCTTAGAATATTTGAAATTCTCGTTGCTTTTTCCACATAAAATGTCATCAAGAGAGCCTCTGGCTTCTTTATGAAATGAAGCTTATGTCTTTGTGCTGGCTAGCAATTTGTCCTTGATAGGTTTGAAACTACTGGCTAATTATAACCAAATGGATACATTATTCTCCTGTAAGTTTTATGAAGCAGGCATCAAGATTAAGTGGGCTTTTTTTCTCATTTCTCACAATTTTACTGATGTGTACAGTAATTAACTTCCAGAATTTTTCTCTAAAGTTTTTATTCTGTGGTTTCTTTTATATACATATACAAAATCAGTCTAAAATCACGATGCTTCTTGAATCAAAAATCATCTTTAAAAACCATGCAATGATCTAATATGTGGTAGTCACGCTTTTGATGCAGAGATACATATTTGTGGATAATAGATCTGATTGATGTAATAATAGGAAATTATTGGCTGATATCAGTGTAATTCAGAACAGAAAATAGCCTTTCATTGAGCAGGTATGTATAATATTTAGTTTCATTTGACACTAAGGTGGTAAGATGTGCAACAGATTCACTCAGTGAAAATTGCCTACATTTCACAGAAACTGCAAAATGGGAAAATGGGAAAAAACAATAGCAATGGATTTGGAAGGATGAAGGAAGTGACCCTTTTCTTACTATTACTTTTTCCTTTTGAAAAAGCTCACAAAACACAACAACATGTTCTCTGCTCTACATCCATTAAAGAAAAAAGTAGTTCTATGCATATGAGGGAAAAAACAGTCAAGAGGTTTCTTGAAGAATTAAAGAGCAAACTACTTTCAAAATTATAGTTGCATATTGAAGCTCTATGTCATCTTCAGATAAACGCAAACAGCGTCATCTTCAACTTATCTCTGCTTAGGCTGACAATGAGAAGCTGAGATGCAAATACTGAGGAGTGGTGTAATGTTGTTGAATAGAAAAAAACCCCTCTAAATAACTTTTCAGCTCTGTGACAATACCCTCATTTACCACCAAAAATGGCATTAAATCTTTAGATTTGCAGCCTTGATGGCAACTGGACTGCCTTGTAGCTTCTGCATACTCAGATCTGTCAGTGTCTATACTCTGCTAGAAAGAAATTTGTGTCTTTCCCACTCATATTTAGCCACAGAAAGTCCTACATTTGTGTTCCCCATGCTCAGTTTTGATAAATTTCTGTATTCAGGGTTTAAACACTGATTTCAAGAAGCTAAAATTGTTTCCAATGCAGAAAAGAGAGTAAAAAAATTACTGCTGTCACTGTGTGTTAGTGATCCCCTGGTAAATGTTGAATAGAATTCAAAGGCAGACATCTTCAAACTTCTGCAAAGGATCATTTCTAGTTAGCTGGATGAGGACACTCCTCCAATAAAGCCCTTACCTTCTGTAATGTCAGTATTTCGTTGGAACTACTCCAGTGTAGGGGAGATAAATTTTTCTGATAACTTATCTCCCAAGCCTAGAATCCATTGCCATTGTTCATGTTATATGGGAGATTTTGTGTACATACCAGAGAAAGGTCTTAAATAATATGTTCACATTTGATGTGGCCTGGGAGGTAGAAAAAAACCTGACTCATTTTTGTGCAGATGGACATCACTGTGACTGCAGTGGTTTCTAATATTTGGTTTTATTATTTATTGGTAAGTTGCTGAAAACAACTTCAACACAGAAATAGCAGACACATTTATTCCTGCTTCATTCATTATCTCTCAATAAGCTCAACAGTGAAGGGAGCCACTGCAACTCCAGGCCCTTTGAAAATATAATGCAAAATCCACTTTTATTCGGTGTTTTTCCTGAATACTATACAAGGTAGCCATTCTGGATATTTTATGCTTTTTGTCAATTTAAATTTAAATGGGACATCCTACCTCAACAATTGCATAAAAGAGAAATTTTTACCACTAAATGCATGGCAAAATCATTAGGATTTACTGTTTGTTCTCAAAATAAAATCTCCAGTGACAAAAATGCAATTATTTTATTTCCCAAGTCCAACGTTTCAATACGCTCAGTTAACTAATCCAGATTATATTTTCCTTAAAAATTCAAAGTTTTTTTCTCTGGTTGAAATGAGTATTTTCCACTGTTGATTTTTTTTTTTTTAAACTATTTTGAAATGCAGTTACAATCATGTATATAAAATTACACGTACAGAGTACATGTTGTGTGAGACAGCCCGTGGTACTCCTGTCTTTCATGTGTCAGTTCAGAGACATTAGAGACAGTTTTGTTATCAATGTTTATTGTTTCTATTGGCTTGAGTAAATTTTAGATAAGCTTCATTGAGAGTTTATCTGACAGTGAATCTATGGTAAGGGCATAACCTAAAAGGTACTCAAATTGCATTAAGCCTTTGCAATTAACCAAACAAGAAATAAATCAGTGGAAGGACTAGTACACTGAGGGGTTGCCTCGATAAAAACAAACCATGTAGTCACAGAGATGGCCATTTGTCAAGCTAAGCTAGAAGAGGCAGGCTTCAGACTAATGCTTTTGTCTGAATAGTGAGATTTAAAATTCCTATGGAATAAAAAAGGACTAATAGCATTCTTGACAAGGAAAATTGAGGGAATGAGAACATCAATTCTAGGAATGAGTGATAAAATTATTTAATTGACACTAGCATAAAGATACATTTAGACAAAAAGTATGATGGGCAAGTGATGGATTAAGCCTTTCAGTACACAAGGAGGTTTTATTTTGCATCTGACTCTATTGGAGATGAAGAGATCATTTCACTCCATAATTTGACAGGAAGGTGCAAGTACTGTGGTGAAAAATCAGAATAAAAACTACAGGTTCAAATAAATTGTTTCAAATACTTTTTACAGGAACATGAAGAACAAAACTGTAATCAAATACAAGAAAATTAACACATTTTTGTAACACTGTTTGAATGTAAAATCTGACATCTTTTGATATAACTTATGTGGTTTTATTCAAATAACTCAAGAAAACATTTTGTCTCACAAAGAAGCTTCAAGTTTGAAAAATTACCTTGTGGGAGTTAACAGCTGAAAGCTAGAGAATTTCAGACAAAAGTGCACTTTTGATAAGGTAAAGAACACTTTGCAAAAATCATATTGTTATTTTCCAGATCTATCTAATCTGAATTGTGAAGATCATGTAATGGCTGAGAGAATGTTCCTCAGCAAATGATGAAAAGTATCAAATAAAATCTACGAAGTTGAGCTTCTCCATTTAGGTACATTAACATTTAAGAATTGCATAAAATAGGCTTTATCCAAGCAGTTTTTGATCGGAGACCCAAAGACAAGGCTAGACTTATAATAACTTTACTGCATCTGACAAAAGAGAGTAAGAAATAGAAATAAAAGACCTAGCTTCTGTTTCTTGATTGGATTACAAATATTATGCTACACTGAAGCAAAAAAAAAAAAGTCTGCTTTTAAAGTGGTGAATGATAAGTGTATTGCATTGTTCAATAGCTGTCTTGGCTCCACATTCAAATTCACATATACACTTTGTAAAAGTTAGCAGCTTCAGAAAAAGGAACTGTAACTTATTTTATGCAACATCTGTGGTGCTTTTCTTACTGAAAGATGAATTTGAGAGACTTGTAGTGAATAAACTAATCTGTTGTAAAGCAAATACAATTTGGCAGGGGGGAAAAAAAGGAACTAATATTGGAATCTCTGCCTTCTAATTCAGTTTTGCACATCCCGATCCCAACTAAGACAAGCAAACTGGTGAAACTCCACTGGTTGTAAATTAACAGGCCAGGGCTAGTCTAATCTCTGGAGAGAACTAAATCCCTGGCCTTTCAAATATAGTCGTTAAAAAGTGCTCTCTCAGATAACAAAGCAGCAAGGAACTACAGTAAGAGTTTTGACAGCTCCTTTTATTCCGATGCTAGAGCACAGGACATGAGTCAAAGGGATCTTCAGAGGCCACGAGTGGCCTGGACCACAGGGAGCTCTGGGGATCTCAAGCAGAGCAAAGCTGTGTGAAGTCCTCCCAGTATTCCCAAATGCAACCCCCAAACACCGTGAATCTTGCTCACCAGCATCACACGCAGACATTTGTATTTAGCGCTGCTCCCGTACCTGTGATCACTTTATAAAGTGATCTGTAAAGCCATTTGTATTCACGTTACGCTTTCTTCTCACCCCCCTCCACTCCCGAGCCCTTGTGCAGCTGCAGTGGGCGACAGGCGATGGGCCAGGCTGCCCAGATCTGAGACCCCTCTCCCTGCCCAGCTCAGAGCTCCCCTCGCTGCCCACCAGCCCGCACAAAGCCTCGGGAATAAGAGATAATCGTCCGCGCTGTCAGCTCCCGGCAGCCTGCGTCGTGCTTCCAAGTACCTCTAATTGAATTGCTGTAATTTCTGCCCTTCCTAATGCAGTGGGTGGCGAAGGGGGAAATGACCCGGGGGAGGCGGGGGAGCGGGGGGTGGGCGGCTCCGGCTCCCCCCGGCGCGGCGCTGCCGCAGCCCATAAAGGGCAGCGGGAGGGAAGCGTGGGCGCAGCTTCCCACTCGGACCGTGGCCATGCAGTGAGTGCCCGCCGTGGGACACGCCAGGGACAGCACTGTGAGAGGCAGAGCGCCGCGGGAACTCAAGGTACTCCCCTCCCGGCCCTCCCGCTGGGAATTTGGGTGCCGAGCCTGGGTAACCACAGCCAGGAAGGTCCATCCCCGCTGGGGAAGGCAGAGCGTTTACCCTCGTGCGGTTTCTTTCCAGATGCAGAGGTGCGCTAGTTTCCTGTTTCTGTCTCTAATCCTCGGTGCCACCCTCTCGGAAACATTTGGGCTGGTTTTCTCAGTAAGTATCCATATCTCAGCTGGCAAAGTAACTATAAACCTCGCAGGGATATAGGCTGTGTTCAGACATATCGGTTGCAGAAGATGCAGCACTCAAAACTGTTTTTGGCTATAAGCTTTTTTTTTTTTTTTTTTTTTTTTTTTTTTTTTTTTTTAAGCTAAGAATTTTGAGATTTTAAGTACTAGCTCCCTTGTAGTATGAATAAAAGAGTGCCAAGTTTATAGATCAAAATTGAATGGACGTCCCATCTAACTCAGAAAAGGTGGTTGTACCTATGGATTCTTTTTATAAAGAGGCTGTCATGTAAATCCAGTCAATTAAAAGAAGACGTTGCTGTCTGTTCAGGTGGCTGCCAGGTGGTAGTATGAACTTGAAGTATCAAGGCAAAATTTCTGCCTCTGAAGTCTGATTTGCAGTTTCACTTACATAGTGTGAAATATTCATACTGACTTCATATCTTCATATTGACATGGACATCAATAGCAAAACTATAGACTTAGATGGGGAGGAGGCAAGAGTTCACCATTAATATTTGCTTCAATATGATTGGCTTTTTTGGTTTATTTTACTTTTTTTAAAAAAAAATTTTTCTTGATTTTGAGCCTTCAGAAGACTCTGCTTAAGAGAATGTCCTTTTGAATGCAAGCACTGTGTACATCATGTAATAACATACTTGCATTTTTTTCTTTAAGGCAAAAGAAAAAAGGGGTTGGACTTTGAACAGTGCTGGTTACCTACTTGGGCCACGTAAGTGAGGCAGTCTTTTTTCCTTTGTGCCAAAATGCAAAAGGTGTGGGGTTTTTCTTTTTCCTACAATCAGTTTACTGAAGGGTGCTTTTCACTTCTCTGTGTACAGCAATTTCATCTAAACCTTCAAGGCTGAAGAAACTAATTTGGGAAAATACTTGTTTAGATACTTGTTACCTGCCTATTACAGAATTGTCTTGAACAGCAGCTGTTCTTTTCTAAAGCAGGGTTGTGACCTGAGGCTTTGTGTCCAGAAACACTTCTCACCCTGTGCTTGGAAACTGTAATTTTCATATGACAAATTCTTCACCACCAGAAGTGTTACAAAATCCTTTATCATCTTAGATGTCAAGGGAAGAATGACAAAATGTGACATTTGGCACTTCCCTATGTATTTCAGATTTCGCCTTTAAATCCTTTTGAAAATTGTTTCAATACTTGGCTTTATTATACTACTTTTTTTTTTTTTAAATTAAAGCACAATAAATTAAAACGAACATGCAAACTAACGACTATGAAAAATTAATGTATGAAGTGTTCAAAATACAGGAACACTGGTTTACAAAAGTGGAGAATAACAAATATTAAAAGAAAAGTAATGCAGGGCTAAGCTTTCTCAAATATTTGTCCTTTTACCATCAATGTAGTAACACTCATTGCCAATGTTTCTCTCTCTTCAGTCTCAGTAATACATAGACGAATACTACAGACACTTACTATGACTTTATTCATTCTCTTTAGCTAACCCTAAGGATGTCAAAAAAAAAAAAAAAAAAAGCTTAATAGCTTAATGCATCTTAAATGTATTAACTGGTTCTGTAAATGTCTGGAAGTATATTTTTACCCTGAAGCAGGTCTAAGCAAATCAGAAAAAGTACTGTGGGGAAATGTACTTGTCGAAGTGCCATTTATCTAAGACTGGATAATAGGAATCATCCTTTGTTGCAGGTCGTATTGATCAGCTTTTACTGATAAAGGAAATGCCCATTGCAAGGGGGAGAGAAGAGGCACCAGGGGCATGTAAGATAGTTTCTGAAGGTTATGCATGTAAACTACCTGCAGTTTTCTTTTGAGCAAACTCATCAGCAACATTTTCTTAAAGATGAAGGAGAGAACAGTAAAAACAACTTCCCAGTTTACATGCAGATATACAGGCTTACATTTTTTTATGACTTCTAAATTCAGTAACAGCTTCAGCAAGTATGTAGCACAGGTCTGGGTCTGTAAACAAGATAAATCATATGCACAAATTTACGAGAAAGGTTATTTTATTTAAAGACATATTAACTGCTTTTCTGTAATTTTGTCCATCAAAACTGCCCATCATGATATTTTCATTGAAATTCATGAAAAGCAAGCATTGTAATGGAGGTTGTTGTTAAGTCAGTTAACTCCTCTGATTTTTTTTAATTATTTATTTATCAGATGCTGTAGATAACCACAGGTCTTTTAATGATAAGCATGGTTTCACTGGCAAACGTGAAATACAGCCTGATGAAGATATTAAAGCAGGTAACAAAAATCTGAAAACCACTATTGTTGATTTGTTTTGAATGTTTTGCAATTTATTTACTATTAACTAACTACTTAGATACAAGGCTATTCCTGCTCTTTAACAGAGATCCCAATAAACATATGAAAGGAAGAAAAGTGACTTTTGGCCATTTGGTGTGTTCTTTTAGTTTAAAACATGGTACATTTTCCTAGGCACTTAGATAATTTTGTTGCTTTAAAAGTATGATAGATAATATTAGTTTGAAAAAAATCTTTTTTTTTTCTTTTCATATGTTCAAATAAGTATTTCAGAAGTCACCTTAGACATTCAAGGGTTATTTTTTTTCAGCAAAGAAGTGAGTCATCAAAGGCATCTTTCAATAGCAAAAGCTCTAACAAATATAAAGTCTCAATATTTCCTATATTTAAGCGAAGTGGATTATCAGCATAAAAGACTGAGGATCTGGTCGCAACTGAAGTCAAGTTAACATAATGTTTTGATGTTGACATGTCAGAATTTAGTAAATATCAGTGAAAAGGGTGCAGCCTTGTTCTGGATTTTTCATCCAAAGCCAGGCCTTTAAACTATGTCTAGACTCCCTTTATGAAAAGAAGCTGACAATTTTAAACTTTATTTCAACCACCTATTTCAGGATAAGATACAGAAACTCCTAGAAAAACCTCTTTCTTTCTCCTGAGGAGAAACTATACCTGCTGCAGACATCTAAAGTGAGCTGGGATGAGTATCAGCTTTAGACTGGCAGAGTGACCACAGGACTTACCTGAGTACTGTTGCATTCATCACTGCATTTTTGTTTATTTGTTTTTAAGGCAAAAAAAAGATAAAGCACCCACTTTCTCAAACACTGGTGTAAAAAAAATAGTATTTTTCCAGTCAGAAACAATGTGAAAGGAAGGTAGTTGCGATCTAACAATGCACATGTTGCAACACGTTGCCATTTGTGGATTTACTGGGTCCTTGACAGGACTGTGAACTCTTAGATTTATGGAACTCTTTTGCCAGGTGCTGTTGTGCCTCCACAATTACAGGTAAACCCAACCAAACTTGTCAGGATTAGACTGGAAAATTATATTGCTACCTCTGCTATGAATGTCATGCTCTTCTCTTATCAAAAGTTTTCTTTGAAGCTGAAGTTCCTACCCAAAGGAGATTCAAAGAAAAAAAAAAAGAAAAAAAAAAGGGCATAAGGTAGTCATAATCTTGTCTTAATTGAAAATGAGGGTTGTTTTGTTTTTTGTTTTTGTTTTTTTTTTCTTAGTTGATTTTTTTTTGATTATTTACAGTGGCACTTCAAAATTGCAATACACACACATTATTGATGTAAAAGAATTAATGCAAAGGACTGTACTCTCTCCTTGAAGGACTGGTGCAAAATTCATAAGCTCTCCAGATAACCCAGAAGAACTTGCAAGCTGTATTAGGGACTTAACACAAGGCCCAGAAAAATAAAAAAATCACTACAAAACAACCATCTATGAGCATACTTAGTCACATCTTCAAATTACAAAATTGTAATTTTTTTCTCCAAGAGTCTTCAAGTTAATTCTATACAGAAATAAGGTCAGTTGCAGAGTATAGAGAAATACACATGTACAGTATGTCCAAGTCACTTAAGAAAAATATTTATCCAATAAATATCAAATTGGTAATAAATCTAAAACAGATTAGGTGGGAATAAAAGTTAAGGAAAAAATTCAAACAGTGCAAGTATTACTAATGAAATAATAGAAACATCTTTGTGTCAGTTCAAAGACTGGAAGAGTTTTAGATGCAAGTGTTTTAAATACATTCTTAAATGCTTATTCTCAATACTCTAGAAACCTTTGTGTCCTTTACAACTTTCATCAATGTTTTTTTAATTTGTGCTGCAGAGCTCAGTCTGCCTTCTATCCTGTATGACAAAACTGTCAGTGATGTGCTAATGGACTGCTGGTACTGGCACCCATCTCTATGCAGAGAACTAAACATGTTGGGTCAATTACTTGCCATTTGTTCTCTAATACAGGACAATTCTCCATCCTATTGAAAAAAGCAAGATGTCTTCCCTGCCCTCCTCTACCTCTCTTTTTTTTTGTTTTTTTGTTTTTTTTTTTTTTTCCCCTCCACTAACAGATACAGAAAGCATCCTTCTCAGCCTCCCAAAGTGCAATAACAAGCTCCCAGACTCCATTAGGCCATTAAAATAGCATCAAAAGGCCTATTTTCACTAGATCAAAGACAAGTATATTGGATTAGATACCTATGTAAAAACACACCTTTCTGGGCTTTTAGAAAAACACCCAGGCCCAGCTTTTGGGCTAAAAATCACTTCTATATCACTCAAGAGGCTTATCTGGAACAAAATCAGGCTATGGGAAGAACTTTTAACTGTTTTGTAAAGGTGATAAATTTGTCAATTAAATTTAACCTTATTCCTTCAGTCTCAGGTTAGTGGACACAAGGGAGAGAGTTGAGAACCGAGGAAAGCTCTTCAACAGGAAGAATTCTGAACACTGTGACCATTAAGGTGTCAAAGCGGCTGCTGTGCAGCAATAAGGAGCTGGGTAATTCTGATTCTGAGAATTGCCCCCTTAAAGGGGCTTCACTCTTCCCTGAAATAATTGGAGATTCCATTAAAGATTTTAAGGAAAAAGGCATTTCAGGTAGCTTATTTTCAGAGTACTTAGAAACTTAGCCATGATGTCACATAAAGCGTGTCTTCATGCCATGTAACAATAAGTAACAACCAACTTGTTTTATAGGGAATCTTGGAAGACCACTGTCTGATGACAACATTATGCGTACAGTAATTGAATTTTTGACTTACTTGCATCTTAAAGGTTAGTGAATGCCCTTTAATCTTTCACAGCTTCTGCTACTGAGAAGACAAGACTGTTCCTGAGTGTACCAGTCTGGTGCAGATTTGAGTGTGCAAGATTTTGGACAGCACCTTGGGAACACACACAGCTAGTACGCAAAACCACAGGGCAGTGAATATCTGATGTAGCAGAATTTTATAACATTCGGTCACTTGTTAGTGGCACAAGAAGTACATCTCCCTTTTTGCATGTATTCAGCAAAAGAGGTGCATCATAAAATTGGAACAACGCTAAGCTGAACGTTGGCAAACAGCTCAATATGCTGCCGGTAAAATCTCTGTAGAGTCTCAAAATTGTGACAAGAATTGTAAAGCTGAGCTTGCAGCTGATTCTATAAGAGTGGTAACTTTTTTATAGAACTCAGTGAAGAAGAAACCTGTATGTTTCTGAGTTTTCATCAGTTTTGCTTTAAAAAAACGCAAACAAACATAATTTTTAGCTTTCAAAAACCTCTTCAGGGCTTCTAAAATCGTCTACAAAATGTATGCAAATATGATATGTAGTTGCAGAGAAAACGGGTAGAAAAAAGTATTCTATTGAAGATGCCTGAGGATTTTTCTGCCTCAGAAAGTAGAGAATTCAATAAATCAGTAACTTCTGGTTTTTTACCTTTGTGTACAACAAATTATTAGCAATTTTGGGGCAAGTGTGTGCTGTGAAACTGCGTGTTACATATGTGTTTTAATTTCATTATTAAAAGAGACTTTCAAGAAACCTGTTCATTTTTTGCATATCTAGGATCAATTTTTGGCATTGTTGTCTGAATTATTTGTATCTACCCAAGCAAAATATTTCTCATTACTGAAAATATGAACCCAGTATTTTTTGCATCAAATTTGTATTGGAAACAAAACCTCAGTTAGTAAAAGGGCCTGAAATAATTCAAATATATATTTAGATTATTAACCTGTATATTTACTGTGGACAGTGTAGTAGCTTGTTTCTTGTGCCACTGTGAAGCAAGAGCCCTAAACATTCTCTTACTCTGCTGTGTGAGTCTAGGAAGTAAAATCAATATCTGGACAAGACAAAAAGGGTGTAAAACAAGCAGAGCTCAAGAACGTGCTCTCTGAGTAGGCAAAAAGCTGCTAAGTTGGACAAGAAAACAAAATGCATCTCACAGAAATACAAATTGCTTCTTCCCTGGAATGAATGAGCAAACAAGGTTCCCTGCTTAGGATAGTGACAACAAACACCTGCTTTTATTCAGAAAAGATGGTGGTATTGTTCCATTTTCTCAAATGGAACTTTACTACATTAAGTAGATTGGTGTAGATGTGTTCCTTGGTGGGGGGAAAACTCCCACTCATAGGATTCAGATTCCGGGAATAGTTAGTCAGATTAGACATAAATTTTAATCTGCAAGATAAAGGCAATATTTTAACTGCTAAGAAGTATCTTGGCAATAACTAAAAGTGGCCTTCAGCTCTTCCTCTTGAAAATTGTTCCCTCCAGCTTTAAATGCTTCCATACAAAGCAGGCTGTAGGATGGCATAATTAAATAATATTAAATATTTTGAGATGCTGGGATCATGACATAATAAGACAGATGTAATTTAATTGTCGTTCTGTCACTGCTGTTTCTAAAGCAGGTGAAATTATAGCAGGAAGATATTAACATTCAAAAGAAAAAACCCAAGAGCTTATAAATCAAAATATGAAAAGTTCAAAGATTTTGGTCTTATAGTTGAGAGCACAAAAATGCAATAAAAATGTATACTACTGTAACTGGATTTCATTACTTAAATGCTAAGATAAATCAATATGTGTCAATTAACTTTTTTTTTTTCATTTTTTTTCAGAGTTGGGAGCACTTGACAAGCTACCTGCACCAGAGGAAACAAATCAGTCTTGAAGAATGCATTTTTATTTTGTTTCAGTGTAGATTTAGACTGAATTCTAAACAAAAGATCTAAATGAGCTGATGTTGAGAAGTATTGTTTGCATTAATCTGATAAATGGTAAATGGCATTCTCCCCTCTGGTTTGTTTGTTGATTTTTTTTTTTTTTTTGCTTTCCCCCTTCCCCCTTTCTCCTGCAATGCTATAGTGTATAATTTTGCCTTGGTAAATTTTTTCCTGTAGGTAAATGACAAAATAAAAATAAGAGCAACTAAATTGTTTCATTTTAAAATTAAGTACCTACCAGTACACAGTGTACCGTATACAAAGCCCAGGTCAAATTGTAAGATTACACTGCACCAATACTCCCCAATATTAGAGCAACATAAAACAGAAATACTATATATTGGGTACTTTGGGTAATGGAAACAGAACATTGACCTCAAAGTGCTGCCATGCAGAATCTTTTTAGGTCACAGATCTGTCTGTACTTCTATGCTTTAAGAAACATTACTTCCTGTTCCTGTTTTCACAGATGTGAAATAAACTCGTGTTCATAATAAATTTCATATTATTCACCTGTAATACACCAGCCCATTGACTCAAGCATACCTTGATGCAATACAAATCTAACTGTTCTGTACAGGTTTATACAAACCATACGTGTAGGAGTCCTGCATCATCAAGAGTACTGGGTCTGTACTCCTTAATGAAGAAATGCTCCTGTCTGCTCCAAGATTAAAAAATTATTTTCTGAGATGCTTTAGGCTGAGTCTAGCAAAGCACTTGATTCAATCTTAATCCATACAGAAGTGCTTTGATGAACTGGACCAGAATGCTAGGCCTGTACACAATAAATGTCATATCAAGACTGAGAAAAGTTTTGAGAGGATACAGAACCATGGAAAGGTTTTTCATATTCAGATGACTTTCTGAACAGTGCAATGAAATATCATCCTTTCAAAATGCTGAAGTGCACTGGAGTGCACTGACTGACAGAAATATTGCAGACCTTTATTACCTAATCTGTTTTTCACTTTTAGCATAGCAAAATACATTCTAAATGCCAATCCACTAGTTTGTAGTTTGAACCTGCACAGCTATCCCACCTTGTCAGTCAGGCTTTGCTCTTGCTCTGATAACCACTCAGCCTCTGACCTCCTATCTGATGTTCGCTTTCCAAAGTGTGCAAACCACAGTTTTCGTCAGATCCAGAGAGTTTCTGAGCAAGCCCTTCCCACAATGTTTTACTCGATTACTCTTTTTTTTTTTTTATGAGAGTAATAAAAAAAAAAACCCTGCTAGTGTATATGCTGCCAGTCCAACATTATTTGCTAAATTTATGGGCTTCCAAAAATGTCAAATAAGGATAGAGTGAAATTTAACCTCTATACATTAGTATAGTTCAGGAAGTCCAAACTCTCATTTTCATTACTAATGTCCATATTTCCTACCGTAAAGTTGAAGCAGAGGTCACTAAAATCAAGAGCATTATTGTCATTGACTTCCATGGACTTTGGTTCATTGACTGTAAAACCCAGTATCCATTTGAAGAACTCGGTATCAAGCCGTCTCCCTATGGCAGAGCACCCCAATCTATGATCAAATAGGAGGAACATCACATTAGCATTGAATTTCTTTTGTTTTGAAATAGGATAAGAAATTAGAAATAATAAAATAAAATTAGAAAGCAGTTATTACTTTAATCAAATTAGCATACTGTCAGCTCATCAGAGTTGGAATGGTCCTTTTAGAATGAAAAACCAATGACATTCTGAAATTTGAGATTAGTTGAAATAATGAAAAACTCGTGGGATCGGGAAGATTCACAGCACTGTCTAAAGCAGGGAGGCCCACAAGTTTTTGTATTGGGCTGCACTGTTATGAAAATATGTGAAACCAGATTATTCTAATCTATTTACCAAAAGCAGTCCGCATACTGTCACTTAATTTCTGCATTCAAGCACATATTTGTAATATTCCAAAGTACAGAGACGGGTAAAATTTTCAGCTTGTTTCTTCACCCTCTAACATCTCTTATCTTTGCAAAAACAAAGGGGAAAAAAACAATAAAGGGGGATTCTTCTGGATCAGTTACACAATTTCAGTAACGTTACTATTTTATGAACACTCATTTAATTTAAATTATGTCTTATGTCACTTTGTCTCAGACGTAAGTTCTGCAAATATTTTGAATGACATCTCCATAATTAACCTTTTGGACAAACACGTGATAAGAAATGGCCCTTAAACCACAATTTGGAAGCAATCAGATTCAACAGGGCAAATAGACAATAAAAAGATGTTTTAGTAGAAAATAATAATTAAAATCCCTAATGATTTCCATCTAATTGTATAATTTATTTGCTCATTTACATACATTATATCCCACTTTTCTGTAGGGTTAGCTCAAACACATACTTGCACGAAAGACAAGAGCCAAATTAAAAAAAATACAGAGTAAAACTTTGTTGTAATGTTTGCCAGTGCTATGAAATTACCCATCATGCAAATTTAACTCTGACAATGAACAGAAGGCTTGTGTGATGCTGAGTGACTGGACAATAAAATGGAAGATGAGATTAAATGTTGATGCAAGAAAATTATATACGCAGAGAAAAACAACTCTAATTTTACCTACGCATACTGATGCTACTAAATTGTGTCTGGAAAAAGACCCATTGTACACAGTCCTCTAAAAATGCTATTTTAAACCTCTACAGTGGTTAGAAAGGCAAAGGGAATGTTAGGAATCATAATGAAATTATACTGTTCCCATCTTTGACAACAGCAGCAGTTCTGGGCAGCTTGCTACAAATTAAAAAACACTGTAGAACCAGAAAAACTATAGAGAAAACTGACAAATATTTTTACTACAATTTCCATACATAGAGAGACTAAATAGATGAGAGTCTTAAATGTTGTGCTAGAAGTGCTTAGCAAATTCACTTGTTCCTTAACCCGAGATTTAATGATTAAATGATAAATGATGATAAAATGATCAAGTAACTTTTAATCCCACACCCAGAAAAAAAAAAGGCCTTTTCCATATATCTCATGATGAAATTGTGGCACTGATAGGCACAGGACTTTGTGGAGGCCATCTGCACTGAAAGGAAACAGTTACATTCATGGAAGAAGAATCCTCCGAGGTCCAAATGAAACCACTACTCAAAAAGTCTAATTAAATTGTTTCTTAGAAGGAAGTATGGACTCTTGTGCACAGAGCTTTAAAATGACCCTTAGCAATTGATCCAGGGATTATTTAAACAGGACTTTTTCAGCTGCACAAATTTGATGCTAGCTTACAAAAGAAATTTGGAAATAACACATTTTTAGCTAAAAATTCTGCAGGAATCCTGAATTCTGAATAGTACCTATAACAAAGGAAAAAAAAAGTATATTTATATACAGCGTTTCACCTGTCAGGTAGTCTCATTACAACTTGTTTAAATGCAAATCAGTTCATCATCAAAGAGGGAAATTTCTGATGGCACAGCTGGCATTGAACAGTCTGTTCAGATTCAGAAGTCATTAGGAACCTGACAGGATACATGTATTTTCCCACCTGTCTACTCATGTAAAGGTCAGACCGCAACATTAGCATAGAAAAGTTAGATAGGACTCAGATTATTGAGGAAGTTTGAGGAGGATTGATACTGGGGTTGACATAATCCTTCTTTCAGGTGTAATGTTACCATGGTTCGGTTCAAACTACAGCCCGTTTTGCCTGGCTAGTCCACCAAATTCCTAATGTCATAGAGAAGTTTGGTGGGAGTTGGTTTACGAGAGATTCCAACGTGTCTTTAGCTGTTCTTTTATATTACAAAAGAGATGATGAGATATGAGATAGTATGTGTAAAGATATTACATGTATACGTGTAAAGTGTTATTGTTGGTAACTCCCAGAAAAAATGGCAAAAGTATGCTTGCTTTATTTCAGAATACACGACACAAATTGGCAACAACTTAGAAATGGACACCAGGAGTACTTTGCAATGTGTCCAGAATGCAAATTACCTCAGGAGATGTCTATGGCAGATATGAGGGTTAAAAGAAAATTTAGAGCTGAGTGTTATTAGCAAAACAAATGATTTTTCACCAATTCACAAAGTACTTCAGTAGTGCAGTACTTCTGTCACTATTTTGTGTTCTATCACTTATTTTTAAATAAATGGAAATAATAATTCAGATACTTAATTTTTTGAGGAGAGAACATCAGCCACTCTACTACTCAGATTCAGCAGCTGGGTATATAAATGTCAATTTGTTAAGATTTTTAATACCTTAGAGCACTGGACATTTGTTATTGCATATGCCACACTCAGAACCTCCCAGAAATGAGCTCTAAAAAGTCAGAGTTAAACTGCAGATGAGAACTATTTTATCTCCTTGCTTGTAAGGTACTACATTATTCTTCAAAACTACTAAATTCCCTTGGGATTCAACTCGTGTATTTCTAATTTAATTGATCTCCACTGATTTCCTGCTAATTAAGTATATATAAATCATACATCCTGAGTGTTGGGAGACATGAGTCTCATACAGAATGTCTGTCTGAGGGGAAATCTAAAACACCTGTTACCGTTCTGATTGCACTTTTTTTCTTTTTTACAGTTCCTAATATAAATGTTGACTAGGTATCACACACAAACACATGATGAATTCAGAATGGATTGCTTCTATAATTTCCCCTTCAAGATGTTCATGAGATAATATATTTTCTTGAAATTATTCTATTCCAATAAAAATAATTGTATTAAAAATAATTGATCAGATTTATGAATGTTACGGCTACTATTTACATTTATCGATATTAGAGGTAGCATTTCTTGCTGAGGTTTAAAACTCATGCTCCAATTATTTACATCAGTATGAGTTACAATGTCACATTTGCAGAATGAGTACCCTTTGCTTACTATTAATTCAGATGACAGTATGGGGAATCACACTGTGCTTCCCCAAGCTCCTTCTGCAATTTGGTAACGTTATCCTATTCTTCTTGGACTTCTAATCTAAAAGATAATAGATTGAGGAATCATTAGTTATCTGATGGTTTTCATATCTACCGTTCCCTGCAGCCATTAAACCCCTACTCAACATAATCTCCAAAGATTTGTGTGAGAATTTTATGCACCCCTTCTGCAAATCAGTGTTTAGAGACACTTACATTGAGTAACTTCTTCTAGTACTCTTCACAGGCACTCCAGGCACTGGAACTGAAGAGGGCAGTTCTGCAAAGATCTGGATCTCATCTCTTCTGTCTAGAGTGTGAG